ATGAATCAAATATGATACATTTGGCATTATAGGGTTAAAAAAAAAAATGGGCCTGTCGGACTCACTCTGTGTGCGTTTGTGTGGGCGTTGTGCTGATTAGTTACTGAGTAAATTCTGACTTTGGACTGGAAAAAAACAAACATCTTGCTCCCAAATCTCTACATTTCCCGTCAGTGGAACACAAAGATCCAACTCAGTTCCCAAAAATCTAAACAGATCAGAGACAAGTTAAATATGAGGATGGAAAATAGATTGTTGTCTTTTGTTGCTTATTTTGAATCAGGATAATTAGGATGGATTCAGTTTAGGTTTATTCAAAGTTGATTTCCCTGTTTTGCTTTGATTTCACCAAGTTTTCTGTGTATTTCTGGGTTTATTTGTTTGTTTACACCACTCAGTTTATTTCCTGTCTGCAGTTTTTATGCCTCATTTCCTGTTTTTAGCTCAGATTTTCTCCCATTAGTTTAAAAAAGGTTAAGCTTTAAAGACAGATTAATTAAAACTGGGACAGTTTGTGAGTCACTGTTGATTCTGAGGCTTAAACAAAAGGCCTCAGAAGCTATTAGTAATCATTATTATTATGATACATCCTATAATTGTTACTCATTTATTCACATATAAACTTGATCATGTGTTCGTTCTGTAATTCCATAGTTTCAGTTCATATTTAAGCATTTCAAGAAGCCTATTTGAAGGTTAAATTACGTTTATTGTTAAAAAAAACGCTTTAAAACACAAAAATAACTTGGAATAAATCCCCTGCTCTGCACATTTGAGCAATATTTGAGTTTTTTTTGCACAGTGAGCAGCAACGAGGGCCGTTTACCACCAGGAGGCCGTAAAAAACTACCACAAATCTGTTTAAAAGTGGTCACCCAGGACTGCTCCAGGACTTTAAGGCGTGCAGGAAAGATCCTGTCTGATCCTTCTCACAAACTTTTGGAAACCCTCCCCTCTGGCAGAAGGTTGAGGACCATCAGGACCAAAAACCTCACGCCATAAAGACAGTTTTTATCCAACAGCAAGTGGCCTCATCAACAAACAAATCAACCAGTGACCCCCAACTATTCTTCTCTCACCCCCCTCTACCCCACTAA